TACTGTTTATACTAACATCCTATAATTAATCCATATTTTAATTCTGTAATAATCCAGAATACTTAAAAATAAACTGCTTTGTGTTGAGTATTGAAATACTGCATTTGTCCCTTTTTCCCCTGTACAAATTGGACAGTGTAATCATTTGTTTACTTAAAACAGCAACTGTTCTAAGAATATGAAAATACCACTCTTTTGCTCTCATAATTGAAAGTAGCTTTTCTGGCACAATGATTACTGCCTCTTAGCACTTGAATATTATATTGTTTCTATTGAGAAGTCTGATCTGTCAAATTTTGTTTTTTCTTCTTCTTCTTTTTTTTTTTTTTTTTTTTGTCTTTTTGAAGCAGGGTCTTGCTATGCAGTTCAAGCTGGCCTTGAGCTCACTTTGTAGCCCAGGCTGGTCTCAGACTCACAGTGATCCTCCTGCCTCAGCCTCCTGAGTGCTGGGGTTATAGGTATGCGCCACCATGCCTGGCAAATTTTGTTTCTTCTGTCTTTTTCTGATTGCTTTCCAGATCTCTCTGTTTGAGATTTTGTGAAAATGATTTAAAATGAAATTTATTCATGGCTTTTGTATGCTTTTTGTTAGATCTTTAAAATCTCAGCCATTCCTGGTACCGGAAAAAAACAAAAAACAAACAAACAAACAAACAAAAAAATAAATAAAATCTCAGCCATTATCTTGAGATTTTACTCTCCTTTATTCTTTCAGCTCCCCTATTCAGAAAGGGAATTAATTCTATGTATTATTAAATTAGTTCTTCTGATTTTATCTCTTCTTTTTATGTGCCTCTTTACATGCCTGTGTTGCTTTCTTGTTCGTTTTCTGTCTTTTATTTTCTAAATTCTCTGTGTAGATGTGCCTAATTTACATTTTAACTGATTTAATTTTTAATTTTCATGTAAGTTTCCATTTTGGTCTTTAGGGATTTCCCTTATTTTCTAAAAATTCTAACAGTGAGTTCAGAATTTTTTGGTAACACATAGAATCTTTTTCATTTTAGCAGCAAATCCTTTTCAAATATCAGTAAATCTCTTCATACTGTTAGAAGTAGGATGAAATTAAGTATCCAAAATGCCAATGTAGGTACTTCATAAATATGAATTTTCTTCTATCTCATGAATTTAATATTTTGCCAGCCAGTTGTTTTATATCTTGTAGTTCATTCTTGTTGTGAACATTTTTCTTTATCCTTTAAAAAGAGATTGTTGCCAGTGAAGTAAAAGTGTAGAATGTGAGATACAAAGAAATTGTTAATTTTTTTTTTGTTTTTGCTTAGAACTGACGTGCGTCATATTTAGAGCAGCAGTTCTTTTTTTTTTTTTTTTTAAATTTAGAGCAGTAGTTCTTAATTGAGAGGATTTTGCCCGGCACGGGAGATGAGACAATGTCTGGAAAGTAGTCACTGGCTGATGGGGCACACTCGACAGTCAGTGAGTGGAGGCCAAAGGTGCTGCTGAGACCCTATAGTGTGCAGAGTAGCATCCCACAGTACAGTTCATGTGGCCCAAAATGTCATAGTGCCATGGTTAAGAAACTCTGTTTGGAGAAATGAAAATGCTAGTAGGTGGATATCATCGGATTTGTAAGGAAATTTCTTCCAGGTTTTGGAAAAATTGGAAGAAGGCCGTAGAAAGATTATTTTTTCTTTCTTACATTTCTTCTCTAATTCTTTAGCCACAGCTGTCTACACGGGTAAATTCAGGACTCACAGCCCAAATTTTTTGACAACTAATTCAATTGTATTTTCATTGTTTTTTGCCATTTTTTCAACTTACAATTGGAATGTGTATATATACATTAATATATGAAATATATATTAATTGTGGAAAACATCAGAGAGAATAGATAATTGGAAATAGAAAAAAAAGATCCAAACCCCTCTTCCGTAGGCAAGGACTTAACAATTTGGAGGGTTTGTTTTCTTTTTTGTTTTTTGTTTTTCTTCCCGTATCAGGAATCGAACTCACGACCTTGTGCTTGCCAGGCAGGCGCTGTGCTGTTGAGCTAAATCCCCAGCCCCCTAGTTCGTTTTCTTTGTAGAGATATTTTTAATGTAGTTCTAAAAGAACTATGTAGTTTTTTATCTTAAAAATTCAAACATAAGCGTAAATATGAAGTCTTAGTTTTGTTGTCATTTAATTAACCACTTCCCTTTTGATGTTGGTGTTTCCTGTATTTCCTTATTATGAACAATGTTTGATGACTATCTCATACATAATCATTTAACATTTTAGATATTTCTTTAGAATAGCTTCCTTGAAGTGGTATTGGGGCAAATGGCATGAATGAGGTGGTTGATAGAAATTGGTCAATTCACACTATCGGTGTGTGTGCGACTGTTTTCACTGAAAACTCATTCATCTGAAAGCCACTTATTAGTAGAATCATTCTTCAGTTTTCACCACTCTTATAAGTGTGTGATATTTATGTATTTGGATGCTGACATAGGAAATCTGTATATTTTTAAATTGGAAATATAATCTAGTTGCATAAATGGAATATAAAAGAGCAATTTTATAAAATATAAATGGAATATAAAAGAGAAAGCAACAAGAATGCATGTAAAATTTCCTTGGGATCAATTTATGAATAAATGTGGCCTTGCAAAATTGTGTCTGTCATTTTTATAAATTGAGTACAGTTTTTTAAGTACTGTACACTCAGCAAATTCATTTAAAGATGTTCTGTAATGAATGTTCTTGTTATGTGGAAAAAAATTCTTTCATAGTTTGGCTGTGAGTACATTCTGGTTGTATTTGTTTCATAAATTCAAAATTTTGTTCACTTAGGTGCTATGAATATTTTCTTTGTTCATAAATAAACCTGTGATATATGTAGGGCTTAGAAATTTATCAGTAGATACACTGCACATTGTATTGCATTCATGAGAATCAGCTTTATGAATTTTTTATTAAACAATTTGGGAGGTCTAATTCTTTGCTCCAAAATATACATCTTTGTAAACTAGTGTTTGATAGTTCTTCATGAAAGTTATTTCTTTGCCTTTCCTGTTTAAAAAAAGAGCTATTACAAGGAGGTGGGTAAAACAGAGAGAAAGTTTTAGGGGAAAAGGAGAGTTACAGAGCGCGAGGGGAGGAATAGAGGCATAGAGAATAACACGACAGTTCCTCCTTCTGGGGACAGTGTAGGTGTAAATATATATCAGAAGTTGTTAAACTTCCCAAGAGTGGGGAATTTAGTCTTGTTCTTATAATATTGGAAAGTAGCTTTATGCTTTAACAGATAATGATTTTCCACTTTTAGAAACTTAAGTGATAGAACCTTAACTTATGATTGCAAATTAATTGTGAAGATACCTGAAAGTTACTTATCCTGAAGTTGTTTCTTCACAGTTAAGTTTGAGAGTTTTACTAGAATAGAATTGTTGTTATTTGGTTTCACCTCTGTTGTCTTTATTTCCATGTTTTATTACCTCTCAAGTCTTGGAAGGAAACAGTTTATTAAGATGTAACCATGGCAGAACAAAGTCACAACAAAACCAGGTTGATCTTTTCAAACTTACAATGTGAAACTGTTACAGTATAACTTGTTTTATTTATTTATAAACAAGTTACAGTATATTTGCAGTATTATTTATAAACAAGTTACAGTATAACTTGTTTTATTTTTTACTCTTACCTGAAAGTTATGCTGCTGTCATTACTCTTAAGTGGAAGGCAGAGGGGGAGAAACAGGGTAGGAAATTAGGGGAGCTTCTGTTCTCCCATCCAAGTACTAACCAGGCCTGACTGGGAGCTTTTGTTAATCCTGAATTTAGCTAGTGTTGACTTAATAATGTCATGAATTTCTAGATTATGTACCACATTTAGTTCAAAAATATTTCTGAAGATTTTTGGAAGGCCTTTGGTTTAGCTACTATTTTTATATCATTGTTATATCTCGTATTTAATTAGCCGGGATGACTACGACTTGACCATAACAAGTTCTGTAAAAATATTAATTTGCTGTAGAAACTAGATTCCAAATGAGGGCTTTATAAGAGGACATGACCCCAAAGTAATTTCATTGAAGTTTGCATGGATTATTTTAACCAGTGTTTCTGTGAGTAGGTCACTTTGAATCAGTTGGACAAATTTTTCTCTGTGTATATAATGAAAGGTCATCAAAATAAAATTGTCATAAGAGCATAAGTAAAAGCTTCAGGGTTGTAAAAGACCTACAATGTCATTAAATTGTATATCTACCTCTTGTTTTATTTATTTACTTTTTTTTGGCTTTTTGAGACAGGGTCTCGCTATACAGTTCAGGCTGGCCTTGAGCTCATTTTGTAGCCCAGGCTGGTCTTGAACTTGTGCTGATCCTCCTGCCTCAGCCTCCCGAGTGCTACGATTACAGGCGGGCACCACCATGCCAAGCTCCAGCTCTTTCTTAAATCCCTTCTCTGTGTTTCCTTTTAAGCACTTAATTGCCTCTTGCGGTGATTGAAGACATTATTATAAATCTTGAGTTGCTGGACAGAGTGGTGCCTTATTCATTGTGGTTAATTACTTCAAGTTTTGTTAGCTTTCATGTAGTTTTCTAAGTTAGCCCCAAACTTATTTAAAGGTGGTAGATCTTCCAGTATTAACATGTCATTGTCTCTCGGAAAACCTGAAAATATTTACTTTTAAAATTCTTTACCAAAAAAAAAGAAAAAATTATTTACCATAGTGCTGTGGTCAGTTCTTACATCAGAAATATTCTGAAGTAGTATTTGTATTTTGTAGAGGTTCATATAATATAGATTCTTTGTTTTCCTAACTAGGAGTTGATTGAATTCATCTTCAGGTATATTATTTAGTATGAATGTAACCAGACTTACTTTGGCATCTTACGATGATTAAGAGTTTAAAATAATTTTTAAATACTTTTGATTTATGGAATGAAAACACTGTTCCAAGTTTAAATGTGCTAATTAAAAATGTTTTGAATTTCTAGATGTGTAATTTTAAGATGTATAGTGGTAAATTTTATGAAATATTTTATTTTTTAGACGAGGGTTAAATCCTCCACACAGAGTGAAGTCTATCTCCATGACAACATTCACACAACAGGAAATTGAATTCCTGCAAAAACATGGAAATGAAGTAAGTGTTTTTACAGTTTTCAATTTTTTATTGGCAGTCCTTTTAATAAGGTTTAATAAGTTGTTTAACATGGTGAGTTTCTTTGTCTCTAAAATTCATTTTTGTATTCTGTATTTTGATATTTTGGCCTGTACTCATTTAATTATGAATTTGGAATTAATGTCTACCACATAAATAGCTGAAACCTGAGGTGAAACACATATATTTAAAATTCACTGATACTGAATGTTACAGGCATTTTTAGAGGGCATCTAGTATTGAAGTTACTGGTAGTCTTTGTTTTAAAAGTCAAAAAAAAGTTAGCTCTGTGATAGATAATCTGTTAAACTTTTCTAGGCTATTGTGCGATCAGCTTATAGTTGAGTCCTCTCCTTCCTTTTAACTAAGTTTTTAACTTTGGATATACAGGTGGTGTTTACCATTTAGCAGGTGCTCAGTAGGGAGAAGATTAGTAGTTCAAGGGACAGCCTTGTTTCATGAGGAACTAGAAAGAATAAAGATTTGGATGGAAACTTTTTTCTCTTGCTATTAATGGGCTTCCTCTAATCCCTTTTGTTTATTTTTAGCTTTATATTTTGCTACTAGTAAAAGCAATGAACTAGTATTATTTTTATAAAAGAGTTTAAATTCTATAGGAGATAAATCTTAGGACACAAGAAGAGTTTCTGATATTAGTACTGGTTACCTATTGAAAGCTAGCTGGGCACAATAGTGTGTGCCTGTGATCCCAGCACTGTAGGAAGCTCAGGCAGGAGGATCTCAAATTTAAGCTCAGCCTGGGCAACTTTTCTGTATCCTGTCTCAAACTAAAAGTTCCAGGGATTTAATTCTGTGCAGAGGCACTGGGATCATTTCCCAGTTAAACACCACCCCCCAATTGATAAAAATGAACAAAGAAATGGCAGGTTTTTATAATCTTGGTAAAGATGAGCTATTCAGCCCAATTGATTAATAATAGTCATTGTTAGTTCATAAGAAGGTCTTATTTTTTTAGAAAAGAAGTAATATTTCAGTTCTTGAATTTTGGTTGCTTATATGTGATATCCTTAGTAGACATAAGAGGAGTTTAAGTGTTAAATTATATTTGTTTGAGTCTTCTTTCACCCTTAGAAAATGTATGTAAGTATTTTATACTCCATCTTTTTTCCTAATACTTTGATAGTTATATTTTAAAATTATTTGACTCTGTGATACGCATGTGATTTTGATTCTAAAATAGTGAAGAAGTATTAACTTACAACTAGGAAATACTTAAAATACATGTTTTAGAGAAGAGAGTTTCCTTTGAAGTCTCCAAATTTTGCCAATAATAACTTCTTTTGAATAATCAGATTCCAGGTTGATCTGGGTACAGTATAATAAAATAAAAATCTGGGTGAAAGAGTACAAGATTTTTAATGGTATTAAACTTAGAATAATATGTTTACTGATTAAAATACAATTTGAACTATTTGTAGAATGTTTGGAATTAGTCTAGCAGTTCAGACTTGAAATTACTTTCTTAAAATGTTGGCAAGTTTTTGAAAATCAGGATGGTGTCAGATGAATATTATTCTGTTCTTAGATTAAAAATATAATGACAGTAGACCAAGCAAGAGTTACAGACCTGGAAGCCAATGGTCCATTAGAGAAGTAAGTAAAGACATACTAAACTGTTCATAGATAAGGTTAGGTGGAGAGTGGTCCCAAAATACTGAGTGAAGGAGCATACGTTTTTTTGTTTTTTGTTTTTTTTTTTTTTTTGTTTTTCTCCGGTACCGGGAACTGAACTCACGACCTTGCGCTTGCCAGGCAGGTGCTTTTGCCGCTGAGCTAAATCCCCAGCCCCAACGAGCATACATTTTTAATTGTGCTAAGAACACTTATAAGAGAGCTACCCTCTAATTAAATTTTTCATTGTACAGTAAATTGTTATTAACTATAGATAGGCCTAGTGTTCAGCATATATCTAACCTACCGTCTTGCATAACTAAATTCACTAGTGCTATTTACTGTTCAGGAATAGCAATTCCCCATTTCCTTCTCAGCCCCTGGTGTACATTGTACTTTCTGCTTCTGTTTGTTTTATATACTTCATGTAAATGGACTCATACGATATTTGTATTTTTTTGCCTGACTTATTTCACTTAGCATAATGTTGTCAAGGTTCATCGTTGTCTCATGTGGCAGGATTTCTGAAGAAACATTTTTACAGTTGGAACATCAAGGCAAATTTAGAGTGCACAAAAACAAATACTTGGTATTACAGAACTCACTGTATCAAAAAGCAGAAGCAAAATTTAAAATTAGTTGTGATTGGAATGAGGGCTGAGGGTGTAGCTCAGTGGCTGAGTGCTTCCTTAGCATGTATAAGGCCCTGGGATTGATACCCAAGCACTGCAACACAACAACAAGGAAATGACTGGATGATTGAAACGGACTCATGAATCTTAAATCCTGCAAGAAGACATGCAGGTCTGTAGGCCACTTGGAACATTTAATGACAGTCACTGTGCTAGGTATTATGGATGCAGTTACGGTTGTGTCACACAAGCTTAGCTGACAAAGTGGCACAGTTGGAGAGACGTGTGTAATAAATAATTGTGACATGAGGAAGTAATAAGTTTTAGAATATGGAGAGAGGCTCGGTCTGTTGGCAGAAAATAAAGAAATGAGAAGACCTCACAGAAGAGGCAAAAGAAAACTTTACTTGTTTTTGAGGGTGGCTCAGATTTAAGTTGGCAGGGAAAAACCCAGGGGTGGAGCAAATAGTATGTACAGAAAAAGGAAAATTTGTGATAGGAAGCGAAAAGACACTTATACCTTCTTATAGTATATCCAAGAACATTTTAAAACCAAATCTTTATGGTATTATCAGTTGTTGTGTTTTTCAACACTTAGGAGCTGTGTAAAGGGTGAAGATTAGTATTATGAAGTGCAGAATGATTGGGACATTTCATAAAACTTTGTAGACTTTAAGTGCAAGTGTTTTAGTATAAGCTTATCTTAAACATTTAAATCTTATGTATAATATGTATAGAGTGGAGTTTATTTCATAAATTTCATTGCTTTTATTTTTTTGTGCAGGACCTCTACCACTGAATTATATCCCTAGCCTTTTTTTATTTTTCATTTTGAGATAGGTTCTTGCTGAGCTGCCCAGGCTTGTGTAAAACTTGTGATCTTTCTGCCTCAGCCTCCTGAGTAGCTGAGTTTATAGGCGTGCATTGTTTTTTTTTTTTTCCCCAGGCATGCATTCTTGAACCCAGCTCATATCTTTCTTTTTTTTTTTCCTTCACATTTCTTTTGATCAGAATGGAAGTAACGTCTACATATTATGAGTGGTTGATAAGGTTAACATTTTGGGCTACTGATAAAGGCTGGATATTTTACATTTCAAAATATGATGTTGTATTTCTGCTGTTATCTTTCAATAGTTTGGAAAGGATCCTACCCAACCACATATATGTAAGATTAAAAGGACATCTTCATACATCTTATGTATGAATGGATTCATGTTTGAAGATGTATGTCTCTGAACTAAAAGATCACAAAGAGTCTTGGCTTTGGCAGCTGTCTTGGATTTTCTCCCCTACTACGGAATTGTTAGTGTGCTGGAACATACTTGGTGGTTGTCACTGTTGGAAAGTATAACCAGAAAGTAGGAAAACATGACTTGTAATGTGTTGAACAGAATTAACTTATATGCCACATGTTAATGTTCCTGTAGACATTTATATATAGAAAGCATTGTATATAGTCATCATATATAATGTAATGCTATCTTACATGCACTACTGTTGTAAACATCCTATTGCAAAGAAAATCATGCCAGATTCAAAGTGGGAAAGGACTGCCAAGGTAGATGGCAAGGGAGCGTGGATACATAGAAGCCATTAATTGAGACCTGATGTTAATGTAATGGCTTACCACGTGTACATTTAGGGAAAATTTCACTTCATTCAGAACTTTATTGTTTGCTGTTTTGGGGAAATCACAAAACTGATGGCAGTACTAATGGAATTTGAGTTGTCACTATTGTACCTCTGTGTCAGTCTGTTTTGTAGCTGTGACCAGCAGATAATACTATTATTTATACATACACATCAAGGTTGTTCTTTTTATAAAATATGTCATCAGTTGCTACAGAAACGGTTTACAAATTACTTGAATATTTACTGTTTTCAGACTTCCACAGTGTGTTTAGTGCAGCATATATGTCCCATATGAAGTTATACAACATAGTATGTCAGATGTTATTGTTGCAGAAAGCACTTTGTATTTGCTGAAAAAATATTTGACCTTTGTTTTAAAACAAAAAGTTATTATGTCCCAAAGTTTCCACATATTTACATGTTAGTCCTTTCTGTCAGTATAACAAAATATGTGAGATCGTTAATTTGCAAAGAGAAAAGGATTCTTTTGATTGACAATTTTGAAGGTTGCAGTCTGTGATGGATTGGCCACATTACTTTGGCCTTGGGGTGAGCCACAGTATCATGGTGGGAGTGCATGGTGGAGTCTCATTGCCAGAAAGCAAAAGAGACTGAGAGGGGGGCCAGGCTTCCCCAGTCCCTGAGAAGGGCGTGCCCTGGTGACCGTAGAGATTTCCCACAGATCCTGCCTCCCAGAGGTTCCAGTGCCTTCCAGTGGTGCCACCTTGGGGGCCAAGCTCATGAGCCTCTAGGGGACATTCAAGATACAAACTAAAGTATCTTATAATACTTTCTTACGTATCATAAAGTTACTTGAAAAAAAAACCACTCTAGTGGTTTCTTGCCTGTGTCTTCTTTTTTGATATTGTAATAAATTATGATTTTCTAGTTAAAGGAACTTTTGCAATTGGATTAACTTCTGATTATCAGAGTTAATGGAAGGTGGACCAGTAAGCAGTGCAATAGATAATTTAATAGAAAAGAAAATGTAGAAATAATCTTATTTTGAAAGACATATAGTTTTTTCTTTTCTAGAAGTAAATTAACCTTCTGAATTATGTTTTAGAACAGGGTCTTAGAGTATAA